AAGGCCGGTGCCCCGAAACTGAGGAGATACGAGAAAGGGGTTCTTTTTAGCGGTAAACGTGCAAACTTGTGTATTCTGGATTTAGGGGATTGAATTATACTAGATTTAGTCCGAGACCTTGTCCAACAATGTCCTGCAAACACAAGTTTGTTCCTATACTCAGTTACGTTTTTCCGGAAAATATTGGCACGGTTGGTGTATAAAGCATCACCAGTGCTGTCGTGCGCATAGTAATGAATGTTACCAGTCTCAACATATTATTGATATGCAGTAAAAACAGCGTTGGTGATAACATGCAGCCCTGTGAAACACCAGCGATAATGGGTTTGTAATCGGACTCGGAACGTGCACCGTCTACTACGACCTTGATGCTATGATCAGCCATGAAACTGGTGATGATATCATAATCGCCGAAGAGGTAAGAATCGCAAAATGTGTAAAGCTCTATGTGCTCCTGACCGAATACTTATATTCAACTGTAATTTTTAATTTGCTTAAGTTGTAAAATAATCATCATCATCATCATCACAGCCCTTCACAAGTCCACTGCTAAACATAGGCCTCCCCCAAGTAAAGCCACAAAGCACGGTCCTTAGCCACCTGCATCCATCGACTTCCTGCATATCTTACCAGGTCGTCACTCCATCTAGTGGGGGGTCGCCCTACACTACGCCTACCGGTACGAGGCTGCCACTCGAGAACCTTTCTTCCCCATCGGTTATCGGTTCTTCGAGCTATATGGCCGGCCCATTGCCACTTCAGCTTACTAATCCGTTGGGCTATGTCAGTCACTCTGGTTTTACTGCGGATATCCTCATTTCTGAGTCTATCACGCAGAGAAACTCCGAGCATAGCCCTCTCCATAGCTCGCTGAGCGACCTTGAGCGTCCTCATACGGCCAGCAGTGAAGGACCACGTCTCAGATCCGTAAGTCATCACTGGCAACACGCACTGGTAGTTTTCAGAGATTGAGGTATACCTGACGAGAAGATGTGTCGTAATTTCCCGAACGCTGCCCAGCCGAGTTGAATCCGTCGATTGACCTCTCGGTCGAAGTTGGACTTACCTAGTCGGACTATTTGTCCCAGGTAAACGTACTCGTCAACAACTTCGAGCATAGTGCTCCCAACAACTACCGGCATAGGTGTGACATGGACATTAAACATGATCTTTGTTTTGTCCATGTTCATCTTAAGACCTATCCGTTGGGAGGCACTATTGAGGTCATTGAGCATAGTGCTTAAGTCCTCCAGCGATTCTGCCATAAAGACTATATCGTCGGCAAATCGAAGGTGAGTGATGTACTCGCCATTGATGTTAATACCGTATCCTTTCCAGTCCAGTAGCTTGAAAACGTCTTCCAAAGCAGCGGTGAAGAGTTTCGGGGATATAACGTCACCCTGTCTTACACCTCTCTGCAATTGGATAGGTTTCGAGCGCTGGTTCTGTACTCGGATAGCCATCGTAGCCCTACTGTACAAACACTTCAGCACTTCGATATACCGACAGTCAACTTGGCACCGCTGAAGGGACTGCAGCACCGCCCAAATTTCGACGGAATCAAAGGCTTTCTCATAGTCCACATACGCCAGGCAAAGTGGCAAATTGTACTCTTCAGTCTTCTGTACAATCTGCCGCAGGGTATGTATGTGGTCTATGGTACTGAAGCCTTTTCGGAAACCGGCTTGTTCGGGAGGCTGGAAGTCGTCGAGTCTGCGTGCGAGACGATTCGTAATGACTCTCGAAAACAGCACGTAGACGCGGCTCAGAAGGGAAATCGGTCTGTAGTTCTTCAAGAGAGCGTTGTCGCCTTTCTTAAAGAACAAGACCACCGCAGACCTGCAAGACCTTCTGCTCCACGCTTCTGGAGTAGTGCCACCATGGAGGACGGAATTGAAGAGCTTCTGAAGGACTTCAAGTACCGGTGTTCCACCCGCTTTCAGAAGCTCCGCTGTAATTCCATCCTCGCCTGGGGCTCTGCCGTTTTTAAGGTGCTGGAGAGCCATTCTAATCTCGCTTAGACTGACGTCCAGGATATCATCGGAATAGTGTCGGATAAGACTTGCTCTTGGATCGTTACTCACACTTGCGTGTGGCTCCAACGATGATGTGTACAGCTGCCCATAGAACCTCTCAATCTCACTCAAAATCTCAGGTGTCCCGGAAACGATGCTGCCACACTCAGTCTTCAGCTTTGACAGTTGGCTCTTTCTGGCAGACAGATCTCTGGCAAAGACTTTGGAGCCCTGGTTCCGCTCGATCACTTCTTTAATACGAGCAGTATTAAAGTTGCGTAAGTCTCGCCGCATGCATTTGGAGATCTGTCTGTTCAGTTGCCTGTATGCTGTCAAATCTGTTGACGATTGCAGCCTCATCTCCCGTCTAACAGCCATGAGATTAAGAGTGTGATCGGAGAGTTTTTGTGTTCTTCTGCGGCGGGTCTTGCAGAACTCAGCTCCGACCGCATGGACAGTTTCCACGAGCTTGTCATTCATATCGTCCACTGCATTGCAATCTTGTAGGCACTGAAAGCGGTTGTGTAACTCGAGCTGAAAGTTTTCGGGATTTTGGATTAGAGCACGAGGGGGACGGAGCGTTGACTTCATTAGACGAGACCTCTCCAACTTAACGTTTAGGTTCAGTGTGCCTCTAACCATTCGGTGATCGCTGCCAGTTTTCATCCTTGCGATCACTGAGACATCACTGAACAGTTGGCGTCTGGTCGTCATAATGAAGTCAATCTCATTTTTTGTCGAACCGTCGGGGCTCGACCAGGTCCACTTCCTGTGGGGCCGCTTCTGGAAGAAAGAGTTCATCATAAAGAGTCCCTCTTTCTCCATAAAGTCGGCCAGCTGCTGGCCCCTTCGGTTCCGTTGCCCTACTCCAAATTTCCCTAACTTCAGCTCACCGTTTTCTCTTGTGCCTAGTTTTGCGTTGAAGTCTCCCATCAACACCGTGTAGTGGGTTTTGGAGGAATGCATGGCTTTGGAAATATCCTCATACATTTCCTCCACCTCCTCATCGGAATGTGCCGAGGTTGGTGCATAAACCTGTATGACCTTCAGCGAATACCGTTTGGTGATTCTGAGTATCAGGTACGCGACCCTCGTCGACACACTCCCAATCTTTACAACGTTGTTGACGAGAGACTTGTGGACGATAAATCCGACACCTCCTTGGGACAGATGGTCGCCCTCCCGGTGATAGAACAAGTTGCCGGATTCGAGAATCACCGTGTCGTCCCCCTCTCTTCGGACCTCGGATAATCCTATAATACTCCAGCGCAACTTGTCTATCTCTTCTTCCAGCTCCAGGATTTTCTCGTCAGTCCTCAGTGTGCGTGCGTTAAATGTTGCCAGGTCGAGTCGTCGTAGGTGGCAACCGAACCTCCACCGGAGATTCTTAGCACCCCCCTGCCCCGCCGTTACCATGGTCGCCACCGTAGCCAGGAATAGCGGGGCCGCCGGGGACTGGGGGCCGTCTATTTGTGTAATTGTTCATGGGGGGTATATTTCCATAGTTGCCACGCTTGGCGAGCGGGTTGGCAACCGCAGTTTTTTTTTTTTGTCGTACAGTTGCTGTTATCAGGAAGATGCTGCTGCCCATCTCCTGCCTGTCTCCCTCTGTCGCCTCTTACGACACCCACGGGAAGATATGGGGTAGTGGATATTCTTAACCGCCACTACACGGCATTAATTAATTTTTAAAATAATAATTTTAAAAATTATTTTTTATTAATATTTAAATATCAGGTCTAAGTATAATAAAACACAATTTAAAATAAACATCTTTTAAAATAGTTTAAAATAATTTAAGGAACAACTAGGATGTGACCACAACTATTTGATATTGATAGATTGATACCTAAGAGCACCTCGATATTCATACCTAAGTATACCCGGATATTGAAGACTAATTTTGGATTGTCTCCTTCTCTCCCCTCCACCTGGGTAGCGCTACTCGCCGCTTACCTGTTTTTAGCAGCAGTGCACTGCCTGCCATTTTGAAAGGTCTAAAATCTGTCTTTATTGAAAGATGGTTGCAGGTACTCACGGGCTAGGTTGATATATTTAGGTGAAGTAGTGTTTCATTTTTAGACACTAACTGCGGTTAAACATATTTTTTTTATAATGATTTCTTAAATTTACGCGAACACTACACATTGAATAAAACTAAATTTACGGATTTTATCGCGTTTATTTCACTACTTTTACTTATTTTTAATTCCCGACGTTTCGGGTGCTTTACAGCAACCATGGTCACGGGGGGGACTGAGATGTTTGACGTCCCAATGTCATAGTTAGTCCGGCTACCTTCAGTTTTTGAATATTAATTTTTGGTCCGATTTACGCAAAACGAGCTTTTAATATCATGAAGTCTTGCAGTGGTATGCTTAGGTTTGGGTTTAATTTTGTTAATTATAGGATCCCAAGCAGGTGGCAGCACCCATCCATCTTCTCTATTGAAATTTGGATGTTTTTTAATTTCAATAGCCTCGCGTATCATCCTTGGTAGGAATCGGTGTTCTTTTGCGAGAATTTGTGGTTTATCAAAACGAATGTAATGGTGGGGACGATCTTGAACATGTTCGCAGGGAAGTCTGCAGTCAACTATGACATTGGGACGTCAAACATCTTAGTCCCCCCCGTGACCATGGTTGCTGTAAAGCACCCGAAACGTCGGGAATTAAAAATAAGTAAAAGTAGTGAAATAAACGCGATAAAATCCGTAAATTTAGTTTTATTCAATATTTTTTTTAATTAAGTTATTATATCACTCAAGACTAGCTACAAGTCCTGTCACAAAAACTGTCAGGATATCACACGTTCAATAAGAGGAAAAACATAAAGAGGCAACAAAATATTAAGAATAAAAATCATTAATGTCCGAACAGAGATCTTTGATCTTACGAATTGTAGCCCAAAGGAACGTCTCATTTTAATTATTACATGTGACACAATATGCAGGGGCCCACTTGCACACTTGCACCGAGCACGCACCATGAGCAATAGATTTATCTGCAAGAAGACCGCGGGCAGGGCGCGAGCGCACCGCGCCATGCCGCCGCGTCACCGCCACGCAGTCGTCTCGTCGCCTTCGCGTAGTCGTCGCGTCGTAACTGGAACTTACCGAACACGGTACCCTGTAATTCGGGGCCGCATCTCTCACGGCACGACACTCAATACTGCAACCAGACCGAGGGCCCGCAGCTGAACGCGTATCTTATCTACCCTATCGGTATCGTACGTCGTTTACTCTGGAATCAACAGCCGACTTATTGTTCGTTATCTCGATTATACGCTTATGTGAGTAATTTCTAAAACTGTAAGCAATATTTTCAGCAGTTGATATCTGACACAATTCTGAGTAAATTTTAAAGTAGGTTTAATCACGGTTTAGTTAGTAATATATCCACATATAAATAAATTAAAACTGCCGGTGTGTCATTTTCGAATCTTCAGCTTCTAATTTATATATACAAGTTAATCATGTAGTGGTTATCCCGTATCATCCGTGGGTGTCGTAAGAGGCGACAAAGAACGGAGATGGACGGCTTCGTTTCGAAGGTTTCGAAGAAGAAATAGAGAAATCGCGCTGAGATAGGATTATCCGAAGTCAGAAGAGAGAGCAGAGGAAAAGGTCCTCGAATGCGGCAACTTGTTCTGTCACCGGGAGATACGTCATAGGGAGAGCGACCATCTGGCCCAAAGAGGTGTCGGATAAATCGTCAGCAAGTCTCTCGTCAATAGCGGTGAAGATTGGGAGAGCAGTGTTCGTTGAAGGCTGTACAGGTTTACGCAACAAAGAAAGGTTCCCCAGTGGCAACTTCGTACCGGCAAAAGAAGTTTTGGAGTGACGATCGGTTAGCGATGAAGGAAGGCGATAGATGCAGGTGGCTCGGAACTGTGCTACGTGGTGTTTCTTGGGGGAGCCCTATGTTCAGCAATTGAGAGGTGGGGAACTTATACTGCACAAGTGAGTGGCAAGAGTTTTTCGACCAAATTTGTGGTATATTTAAGATGGGCCAAATTAAGAGAACCCCTAAGCGACGAGCATGTTGTATGCTTAGGTATATGTTACAAAATCTTAAAGTTTGACTAAAATTGGTAGGATTTGTTGATTATTCATCATGAGTAGCTAACCCCGGTGAGCGCACGAGCTTGAATCATGATAATCACAACAGACAATGATAAAACATAACACAATAGTTTATAAAAATATTATTTTATTGCTTTAAAAGTCTTACGTATTAATTTACATGACGTAACAACGCGTGTGCGTTCCACTTATTGTCTAAGTCGGGGGAAGCCCCCCCCCCCGCACGCACCTTATTGTCTACTTGACACCCGCTGCACCGAGAGACGCTTCGACACGAATTTAATATGAATTATGTTATATTATGTATAATGTAAAAACATTAGTTCGACAATAAACATTAAACACTTTATCGCAGTAGTTATAAAAGAAATACAGAAATATAAATAAAACTATAATAACAAACGGTAATATAATATAGAAGTTACAAAGTTGCGTTGAAGCGCCCCTAATTGCTATGTAACATTATATGGCAACAAAACGCTATCTCCTTAAAGCTATTTGGCACCAGAATTACTAAGACATCCGTCGCGGAGTCATATTACAAACACGTGGCTGGCAACACCTCACAATATTATCTATCTACGAATCACATAATATGTTTATACTAAAAATTCTCTTCGTTTCTTTCAAACAAATCACAGAACAATGGAATTACGAGGTTTTGTCACTTTACCTAAAATTACGTACATTTAAACTCGAAGGTTTACAGTCATTACGTAGTGGTTTAATAACATGTTTACAACAAATCCACGATTAAATAGTTAAAATAGGAAACAGTAATTCTCAGAATACAAGAAAAAGTGGTAGTTTCCACAGTAGTGCGTAATTATTTATAAACACTCCGCAACACGGGGTATTTGTTATAAATAAATTAAACTTTTAATTTTACTAACCTGTAGCACTAACGATTTTATTACTATACTAGATAATTTTTGATAAAAGACATTAAAATATACATAAAATAAAAGTTCGTTGTCCGTATTAAACAAGAAAATTTAATGCACCTACATAACACGAACACGAGATGGATCCCTTTATAGCCCCTCTACACGTTGGGCCAACGCAATGGCCCACTATGATGGGCCAGCGTGTGGAGGTCGTAGTTGTGTCGGATGGCTTATGGCGCATACGATGGTCTTGGGGATGGCGACGGTGTCGGTTTTTCCGCCACACATCAAAGGCGGCAGTGGGCCAACGATGGTGATACGTATCTACACGTGACCCATTCCACAGTTTTGCGCGCTCGACAGTTACGTGTGGACGTCCGTGCTTTGTTTATTAATTAACGAATTAAAAATGACGAATATGTGGCCACTTAATGAAGTTACAAAATTTTAATCATAGAGCTACTAAAATCAGAACATATACCTACATATTTTATATTTATTTATTTATTTTTAATAATTAATTAATAATCACTTTTTAAATTATTAATAATTAATTATAATTATTTTTATTTAAAGAAAACTAAATATACTCAGGACATATTTAGTTCTATTGCGATGGATAGAAGATAACATCCACCATTTTCTACGCCATTTCTTTTTGATAACTCTATTATTGTGCACATTAAAAAAAGTCAATAAAAAATGATATGTTGTATAAATATATTGCCGCAGCGGCTAATTCTTCAACCACCATCTCGAAAAACGTTTCGATCACAACTGAATGTCGCCGTCGTGTAGATTAATGGTGATTAATATAGCGCATAGCGCCGTATTATAGCGCGCTATCTCTTCATAACGCATAGCGCTTGCTATATAAAGGCTTTGTCAGACAGGACACGTACTTAGCGCGCTTCAGAGCGTTAACTTGACGCCGCGCTATGACGCTAAGATGTGTTGTACTACCATCGTAGAATACCGTCAAACAGAGCGCCGACGCTAGCAGTACGCAACGCTCTGTCGCGGCGTTAGGACGCTTTAACGTCGGGTGTTGTATTTTTTTACAAATTTTATTTTAGCCTCGGAGTGAATAGGTGTAAAATAATAATAAAATACTGCATAATGACCGAAAATTTGATAGAATTGGTTAGAAAATATCCATGCTTATATAATACGAAGGATAGTTCGTATAAAGATATATCAATGAAGGCAAAATTGTGGGCACAAATCGGAGAAGAAATTAATGAAACTGGTAAGTAAAAAAAATCGTTTATTGATTAAAATAAGACACAAATTGTTCACGAGTTTCGAATGCTGCAGTCGTTGATCTTCTATTTGTTGGACGATGAGTTATGAGAGCACGCACAGGTACGTTGTCGTTTCCGACTCCGGAGTCAATATCGCTGTACCTTGTTTTGTTCGTAAGTAATTATGTAAAGAACATGCAGCTTTAATAACATCAATTGCTGTGTCCACATCACAGTGGTCGTAAAAAATGCGCCGTTTTTGTGCTAATATTCCGAACGTATTTTAACCACCCGACGTGCCCTGCAAAGTCTTTTATTAAAATTTGTTTTTCTTTTGTCTTGTGTATGCTAAGGTTCTTGGGAATGGACGCATCAAATTGTTTTTAAAGCAAAACCTTCGTCGCCGATAAGTACATGAGGTACGGGCTCCTCGGTGCCTGGAAGAGGTTTATCTGGCAGCAGAGATTTCCGTGGATATATTGCCGATAAAATATTGAGTTCTCGAATATACCACTATCACTATGCCGCCCGTAACTACCGACATCTATGACGGTGAATTTGTAACATGGATCGACTATAGCAAGAAGAACTACAGAAAAAAACTTCTTGTAGCTAAGTACCTGAAACAAAATAATACAATTTATGTTTATTTTACAGGTGAAGTAGCTAAAAAAAATGGAAGAGCTTGAGGGACAATTATATGAGATACAAAAAAGAGGTTGCAGATACTACAGGACAAGCTGCAAAAAAATTTACAAAATGGCCTTGGGCTTCCCAGTTACAGTTCCTTGACTCAACTCTGACAGATCGAGAAACAACTTCAAATATTCGAGAACCTACACCAGAAACATCGTCAGCTATAGAAACTCAATCGTACTCTCACCCACAGTACACACTCAGTACACACTCTCAGAGACGCCTCCACCACAGACACCTCCACCAAGAACACAAAGCGCACCCCCGCCAGAAACACCTCCGCTAGAGACGCCCCAAACAAATGACACATAGTTCACGAGCTAATAAAATAAAAAAACTGACAGCGAAATGGATAAAGTTATAAATTTTCTTCAAAATAAAAAAACAAGAGTATGATGCCATAGATCACCTATTCCAAAGTTATGCCCAAACATTTAAAAGTTTTTCCAAAGACAAACAGATAAAAGCCAAAGTAGAACTAGCCAAGGTATTTGCAAGCATAGATACAGAGGAACTGCAAGAAAACGTCCAGATATTGAATTCACCACATTATTCCATTATTAGTACCGAAGACTCGGTCTGCTATGCAGTACCCAATTCTGTGCCCGAAGATTCATCCCCAGTAGCTGTTATAGATTTATCTAACAATATTTCATCATACCTGCAACAGCCTGAGCAGCTACGTCAACCACTACGCGAAATCGATATTCTACATGTAACTAATTTTGGAGCATCGACATCTGATTACAACTCAGCTGATTTTGATTGATTTTCATAATAATAACGCAATGAACATGTATATAAAAAAAAATTTCTTACCTTAGACAGATTACAAGTCTTTCTCTTGTAGAAATAGGCGTCCTTCAGTTTGTGGTAGATTTTGCTTATTTTTGGGATGAGCAGTTCATGTAGTTCTTCGAATAAATCTTGAGACATACGAAAGTATGTAAAAAAACGATCTTCATGTGATGCAAGCTCACGACACAAACGATGATGTTCTCCTAAATCCTTTCTCTTTTGATTGATGTCGTGCACCCATACTCTTTTTCTCTGTGACCGTGATAAAGCATATAAAAGTAATAATTCTTCCACATCTGAATCACTCGACATCTCCATAACGAACAAACTCTTCAC